GTAAGTACATGTCTGGCATCAGAGAAAGCAAATATAATTTTTATTAAAAAAGGGGCAACAAAAAAAAATTTTTTTTCTCAAAATATTATTTTATATATTTTTTTGTATGTAGCAGAGAATAAAGACGAGGGTAGGCAAAAAAAAAAAAGAATAAGAATTTGGGGGGTGGGGGGCTTGGTGAGAGGTCATTTCAAAGGAAGAATGAAAAGCAGAAACAAAATGTAGTATTGTAATTGGAATGATGCTTTTTGGGGATGAAAAGCAAATGAAAATCCTATTCTTTTTTCCACAATGTGCTTCCAACTTGACTAGTGATGCCCATTGCCCCCACTACTCTCTATGGGTCCTCCTCACCCTTGTCCCCTTCCACAATTCAATCCAATTTTTTCTTTAAAAAAAAAAATCACATTCACGATCCTACACACAATTCAATGCTTCTTCTATTTCATTTTATAACATAATTTTATATAAATATATATACCAATAAAACTTATTAATAACACTCTATGATTTTATTTTTTAAATAAAAATAAAAATTTGTTTTAAAATATCATTCATTTAATATATTTTTTATTTGTCAAAAATTAAAGAGAGAGAGAATATAATAAGAATAAAGGGTAATACTAGAAAGGTATGTTAATAAAATTTTATTTTTGTCAAATTGTTTTATATTTGAGATATTAAATCACCTCTGAAATTGTCTTATAAACTAGGATGAAGGGAGTATTACCTTAAAAAAAAATTATTTCTAGTAAAATAGTTTTGAAAAAATATAACTTTAGATCCCTACACTTTATCTAAATTTTAATATAAGTCTTTGCACTTTTTTTTGTGTTTTATGTTCTTACGCTTTTATTTTTTAGTGTTCGAGATCTCTTCATGAGTGACGTTCCTAAAATATTAAAAAATAAAAGTGTAGGAATTTAGAATATAAAAAAATGTAAAAATTTATAACAAAACTCAAACAAAATATATGAAACTAAATTTATGTATTTCCAATGGTTTTACTTACAGTTCAGAATATCACCCTAGACAGATTATTCACATATTTTATAGTATAAAATCAACTCATCCACTATATATTTATATAATCGATATCATATATAGTATACTTTGTGATGAATTTTTTATTTCATATTAATTGTTTCTTTTTTTCACACTTTCAATGTTTAATGCACTCAAATTATTTTAAAAAATGCAAAAATAATATATGGAATATGAAATTAATGATAAACCGTATTGTTTTGAGGTTATAAATAGCCTGCCTTATATCAAATTATATATCATCTTGACATCCATCCCATATATGGGAAAAGCAAGACTAATATATAATATTGAAATCCACAAAGTTGGAGAAACCATATGACTGGAAAGGAGAAATAGAAGAGAGGGGTGGGGTTTTGAGAAAATTTTAAGAAAATTATATTCAAGGATCCTTCAAAAAAAATTATTCACAGATAAGAATCAATACAAAATAAATTATTAAAATAAAAATATAACTTATTTTTTAAATGAAACTCATTAATAGTCTTTACCAATAAATAATTTAAAAAAAATTCTTGAATATGATTCTCCTAATATTTTTGGGGGATATAGCCTGTTTGGAAACCTGTTCGGAGAACAGTTTTATGTTCTCCAGAATAAAAAAAAAAAAAACATGTTTGGTAACATGTTTTTAAAAAGTATTTTGGAGAATAAAAAAATAAAATATTGCTTTCAAAAACAAAAAAATAAAAATAACTTTTAAGTATTTTGTGATTATTATTTTGAAAAACAAGAAAAAATAAAAAAAATTTATTTATATTATTTTTTTACTTTTAAAATATGTTTTATAAAATACTAATTTTTAAAATAATAAAATAAAAATAATTTTAAATAACCCTATAGTATTGTGTTGGAGCACAATGTTAGAATCGAGTGCTTCCTTCACGCCCGTTGGGCACTGTCCCCATCTGTTGGAATACTAGCCATCTATTAAATTCTCGTTTAATAGCCCTGTAAATATGACAACTGATAATTCTAAAAATATCTATAGAATCTTTAAAATATTAACAAATGATTGAATAATAATTCAGTGTGGGGTTTTAATTGAAAATAGTTATACTGTATAAAAAAATAAGTAACCTTATTTGGAATACCCACTAAATAATAGGCGAACTTGGAGTAGATTTGAATCCATGAACATGACTGGGATCAGAAGTTTGGTCTGAATTTTTGGCTGCTCGTGGCATTGAATATTATTAATTACACTTTTAGGTTATTTAATTTTTCAAGATTAAAATTACTGAATAAAAAAGATCAGTGTAATTTCACTTTTTTTGCCCAGGCAAAAAATGACCAGTGCCTCATGATCAGTTTTTCCATAGGATCATGTCTAGTCTACCTGCCTCCCTATTCTTAATCTCCAGAAATCGATTTAAGACTTACAAAAAAAAAAAAGACTATTAATTACTCAATTTTCCTTATCTGAAGTTTTGACCTTTTTTTTTTTTGTGGCTTAGAAAATCCCAAATTTTCTATTGTTGACGCCGTTGGGTTGGAGCATATCAATTCTAATTTGACTCTCCTGGAAAGTTATTAATGTGTGTGTGAAGTGTACAGCTTGGACTTATTTATTGTCTGCACGCAGGGCCATTTAGAAACATGCACCCACTTGGGAGATGACACATTTCATCGTCATCACTTGAGGAAATGCCATGTTATAAAAAAAGTAGAGATAAGACTTCTTTCTAGAACAAGCCATTCATCGGACTACTCTTTCACCCCACAATACATATACCTCATGCGTATTACAGGGGCATTTCAAACTTCATTTCTAGACAGAATAAATTTCTATTTTTACTTCTTCTTTTTTTGGGCTAAATTCTACTTTTACTTCTATTAAAATAAAATACTTTTAAATTTACATAACGTTTGCTCTATTAATTAATGAGTTTAAATGATGTAATATTGGAACAATATAATTAATAAACAAGTGATTTATATTAAAGGCTAAAAAATTGTCTTACAATGAGCCTCGTAATAGAGACTGGAAAGTGTATACACACACTCTTAGTTATATTTATAAGACAAAGAAATAGTATTCTTATCACAGATTTTTCCTTTTATCATGTTTGTGAAAGAAAGTATAGTACCAAGGTATATATATTTAATAAAAAAAAGCTAACAACTTATTAAATTTTTGATAAAATTAATGAATTTTAAAGTTTTCTTTAATTACAGTATAACATGTTAAAAAATGTCTTATAAATTTGATCAAAGAAGTATGTGTGTAGTATTTGAGTACATGTGGCCGAGTTTTAAGGCGAGGTACGTGGATGCATGAATTTAAACCATTCGAGTTGGGAAATGAATCTCTTTAAGGACCCAAGAGATGTTGCCTCCCTCAAATACTTTCTCGTTTTCCTCATTATATGTCGCTGACAATTCAAGTGGTTCTCCCGGGGGGGGGGGGGCCTAAAAGGAAAATAAAGAAATTCACACGTTTCATTCAATTGAAACTCATTAAATGATACTCCGTCCGTTCTTTTTTATAAAATATTTTTAAATAAAATATGTATATTAATAAAACTTATTACATATATTTTATAATTTTATTTTTTAAGACAAAAATATAAATTTTAAAAAATGTTCTTTATTTAATATTCCATCTGTAAAAATATATTAAGGCGTAAGGGGATATAATTAATAGAAAGAGTAATATTAAAAAAATATCATTAATACAAACTTATTTCTATCAAATTGTTTTATATTTTAAGATACTGAATCTTCTATAGGAGTATCTTATAATTTAGGATAGAAGTAGTGTATAATTTTCAATAAATCGTATTATGAGCAATGGGCAATACATATTCCGTGCAAGGCCTAAGATCCACACAAATGACATGTAATTTAAAACAAGAAAAATTAATTTCACCAATGAAGCGAGGCATGGAATAAAGATAGATTTCTAATCATAATTTTGTGTTGTATGGTGAGTTCAGAAGAAAACATAAAAAGGAAAAGATATGTAAAAGTTAAACTATCTAAATTTAATCCAGACAATCCAACAATTATTACAGAAACAGAAGAAGATGAAGAATATATTTCAGATATCTTCATTCCAGCCTAATTGTTTGAGGATTGAATGTTGATATCGGCCTAGACTTTAAGTTGGCCTTTTTCTATGGACTTGTGGTCAAAAGTTCCTTAATTTTTTTTTTAAAAAGCCCATCTTATCAGTTTCCGACTTTTAATTTTTTGAGTGTGGCTTAGTTTCGTTTTTCATTATTAATTATACGTGGCCGGATTCTTTCGAGGGGTACAAAGAAAAGAGAAAAAAGAATAAAAATTTATTTAAAAAAAAACAGGGAAGAAATAAGGAGGACAGAATTCATGAAATTAGATCAAATGAATCTTTCATAAATATAATGTTACAACTTTTCTTCTCTATTTATTTTATCGATAACTTACACTTCATATTTTTACTAAATTACATAGCAAGACATGAATTAGATGCAGAGTATTCATGATCCTCACGTTCTTTTTTTAAACTTCATAATCCAAACATTCTATCTGATTTACTATTCGAGTAAATTCAACGAGTTATTTTTTTAATACTCATAAATTTAGAAAGTAATAATAGAAAAATGTAATTGGATATACAATTCATACTCATTTTTATACAAACGATAATAAAATTCAATTCCTATACTGTTGATAAATATAATACTTTTTCCAAATATATTTAATCAATTTAATTTTGTATACATAAAAATTTAAATTATTTTGTTGTTTTTCTGATTTTTTGTCATTTTTTAAAATCAATTGAATGAACCAAAACCAATGTACATTGATCTTGAGGGGTCTAAATTAAGAACAAGGCCCAGAATGTGTTTCTTCTTCTCAAGCTTTAGGAGTTGGGCCTGGAGTCATTTTCAACATGGCTAGACCTATAAAACCGACTTGATGGATGACCCGCAATAAACAATATAAATAAATGAATTGAAAAAAAACCGACTTTGCAGGACCGAGAGCTGAAGGCTAAAGACAATGGATTACATGGCAATATTTAAGTGGTCGTTGTCCTAACCACTGCAATTTGATCAATCACGGATGATCATGGTTTGTGTCTAGATCGATGGTTGTTGTTACTAATTGCGCAGCCATGAAAGAGGAGCGAGGAATCTTAAAGGATTGAGGAGGAATACGACCAATCAGACAGTACGGTTCGTCGAACGTCAAAAACCGAGGGAAAGAGGAAGAAACCCCTTTTTGTTGATCTATCTGCGGCTAATCCGTTAATTTTCTGTTTTGGAGGCTCTGAATCGAACTTGCATGAGCAATTCGGTGGGGGTCGGAATCGGAGGATCGGACGCAAATTGAGCAGACTAGTGCTCCGAAACATGTCTGCCATAGTGTGTGGGAAGAGATCAAACATATTCGAAGACCTACCTGCATCGTCTCCACCTGTTTCAAAGAGGATTCGTTGTTCGTCTTCTTCGCCTGTTCGATTCTCTCCCCCAAGGACTTCACCCAATCTTCCTTCTCCTCAATCCCTACTCATCGACCACCTCAGTGCTTTATTTCCTGATATGGACAAGCAGGTACTCTCATCTGAATTTTATTTTTCCTTTTGCCTTTGGTTTAGATATTCTGTATCGTCACTTTCCTTCCCGTTAAATTAAATAAAATTTGTTCTAAAAATTTTCGATCACGTTTCCTTCTTAGCTTTTGGCCGTAGGTATTTGCTAGGATTTTTAATTCGATGGGTTTTTTTTTTTTTTCCCATTATCGGCTTTGCCGCTTACACGTTCGTATTCAGTAGCAACTTAGAAGTACCGAGATCTCAAGTCTGATTTGTGGCAGAATAAGGAGTGTTGCTTCAATCTCTGTATGTTATTATCTAGCCGGGAAACACCAACGCTAAGGTCATGCTTTGAATAGTGCAAAGTAAATTTTAGGTATTATTGGATTTGCAAGAGTAGTTACTGATTTCAGGAAACATTTAGCTCTGGCAAATTTCATGAAATGGTTGAATCCTTTATGGAGTGACTCTGCTGCTCACATGAATATAAATAAGTGAATATATGTTTTAAATTTTTTTGGATTAAGTTAATGTTTAAGTTTAGACGAGGATAAATGTGAATTTTTATCATTAATCTGGTTATTTGCAGAATATCATGATTCCTGCCTGTTTTAAGTTATTTGATATTTTTTTCAACTTATTGGAAGGAACTGTCCTTATTCAAATGTTGTCTATTACTCGTATTTATGCCTTATTGATATTTCTAGTTCTAACCATTCGGTCGATGTTCATTTCAGCTTCTTGAGAAAGCACTTGAAGAATGTGGTGATGATTTGGATTCTGCTATTAGAAGTTTAAATGAGCTTCGGTTAGGATCTGCAGATAAGTCTGTAGATTCTACTGGGGGTATAACTGATGGAGTGGTTGACTCAATTGCACAACTTCAACCAGAAGGTATGCATCAAAAGCAGTTTATGTATCTTGAGCTCACATGCAAGATTGTGGGAGATTGTAATATTCTAATGCGCTAGATGCTTGCAATGATTACATTTCACTTTGCTTTTTGTTATTTTCTTCCTCATGTTATCATCTCTTAATTAATATTGATGATTCTAACTCTTGATTATCTCTCTACATGCTGCATCAAATCATAACCCATCCCTTTTGGTTCGTTGTTAAATGTATCCTTATTATCTTACCTTCATAATGTGGGTCAAGTTTGATTGGAAACCCATTTCTTTATACTGTAAATATCTTGTGAACTTTGAAAATAGCAATAACAATCGACTATAACTTGGGAAGAAACTTCTTATTTTGGCAGGCTTAGCTACTTCACTTTTATATATTTGAGGTAAATATTTTAGCTACTATCGGTCCCTTAGGTTGCGGTTAACTTGTGGATAAGAATGTTATAGTATATGGTTTGCATCAGTTCATAGGTGTGAGCCAAAAACAATAGCCTTAGCAGTAGGAAAGAAATTTTGCTTTTGAGAGACTTGTACTTCATTATCTGCATGCCTATTAAACAGAAACAAGTGCTTTAGTGGTATATTTATGTTTTGATTCCTCATTTTTACTTGATCAAAGATTCACCATTTTTTAGCCCCATGGTTTACATTATGTTTATGCGGTGGATTTTGGATTCTGTTCATAGAAAATTAAAATTGGCATAATTGCTTTGTCCTTGCTTTAACTGAAAGTGATTTTGCATTGAAGGGCAAGTTGAAGGTGTCAATGAAAATCGTTCAAGAGCAGTTTCTTGATAGCTTAAACTTTAATGATTAAATGATCCTTGACACATGTGATCATACATAATGATCTTTTCAGTTATTGATCAGAAGTGTGGGGCTAATTTATAATTGCTGCAGAAATTGTAGCTCCTGACGGCCCCGCAGCTAAACAAAATCATCCTATGGATGGCGCTGAATGGGTGGAGCTTTTTGTGAAAGAAATGATGAGTGCCTCGAACATTGATGATGCTAAAGCTCGGGCCTCAAGAGCACTTGAAGTGTTGGAGAAGGCCATATGTGCACGAGTTAGTGCGGAGACAGCAAAGAGCTTCCACCAGGTGTATAATTCACTTCTTGATTTGCTTCTCTTATATTCAGCCAACTCAATTGTAATGTGAAGACGCTCTCGTTTATCTCATCATTCTCCGTTTCCATCCATTTCCTCCCGAGTGGTTGTAGTGTGCTTATTGTTTGGTCTACTTCAGGAAAATATGATGCTAAAGGAACAAGTGGAAGCCCTAATCCAAGAAAATATAGTTCTGAAGAGGGCAGTGGCAATACAGCATGAACGGCAAAAAGAGTATGAAGATAGGAACCAAGAATTGCAGCAGTTGAAGCAGTTAGTGTCTCAATATCAGGAACAAGTAAGAACATTAGAGGTGAACAACTATGCCTTGACAATGCACCTAAAGCAGGCACAACAAAGCAATTCCATCCCAGGGCGTTATCATCCAGACGTTTTCTAATCACCTTGGACTTGTTTCTTGGCTCTTCCCTTCCCATAGTCTAAATAATCACCAAGAAGGAACAGAGCACTATGATTTTTGGAAATTCTTTGAAAATGCATGGCTGTCCCTGCCCTTTTAATATACCACCCCATGTTAACCAGCAGAGATTTATATTATTTTATGCTTGTTTTGAATTTGATATTTGCTTATTGAAATATGCAAGTCCATTCAGTTGTGCTGTATGGTGCCTATTATTATGTTTACGGCAACATCCTCGTTATACAATATTCCATTCCAGCATCCCATCTTCCGTGAGAGTTATAGAAACTGACTTTTCTTGGGATCTTTTTCCATCATGCGTTCTTCTACCTCCTATTTTACTGAAGGTGAAAAAACAAGTGCAATATTGACATGTTTAGATTTGATTGAAAATTTCATATTGTAAGCAATATGTAGTGTCTAAATCTGTGAGTGTGTAGTGTTGAGGTGTTGTGAGGCCCGGCCCATTTATGGTTGGATTCATGATTTGACATTATGTGACTTTAAGGATCTGGTGGGGCTGGGCCCTTTACTCTTTCTACATTCTATTATCCCAACGATCATCCAATCAGCTTCATTCTTCAACGCCACCAAATCCAGTAAACATCTCATTTTTTTCCAAAACAAGATTAATGTATGTTCCTTAAACAACATATAAACATTTTTAAAAATTAAAATGTCAAAATAAGAAAAATACAATTTTAGCACCAACAAATCAGGAAAGATAGATAGCAATTTTTGAATATACTTTCTGGTGAAGTCATGTAATTTTTAAGGCGTAAGTATGCATTTAAAATATAAAAGAGAAATTAAATAAGTTGAGCGTACTGGGAGGAATATATAATTAAAAAGACAGCACCATAATTCTGTGCATGTTCCTCCATTAACAATTCAGACCCATCCCCCACGCGAATGGACAACTATGGGCTCTACTCGAAACACACAGGCCGATTCGATACTGTGTGTCCCAGGCCATGTTATAATCTGTGCAGTGTGCACAGTCTTCCTCACCTGCACAGTCACTTTCATAACAGTTCATTCTGTGACTGTGACTCTGCTTATCATCAAAGAGAAGATCAGACCCCGACCATCACATTCAATTGCCAGTACATGTCCCTGGTCATTAATCCTCTCAAGTTTCCTGATTGTGACACTAACATATCTACTTTCTCAAACCTTCTTTCACTCTATCTCTCTTCCTAATTACTAAAATCAGCACCATTTCTTTGATATGCATACATGATACATGCACACACAAATATTATCTCCCTAGAGACGCTAAGCCAAATGAAAAGGGCGGTTTTGGGTTTCAGAAAGTGATCTAGCTAGGGAGCTAGCAAGTGGGGTTATGCTAAATTTGCGATGCTGCAACAGATTCTGAATTCTGCAAACATGTATCCCTGAGCGAGTGGGGTGGCATCTATATATATGTATGTATCAGTGAAGATGAGTGAAAAGAACCAAAAGGTATGTGTCTGTAATTTGTGAAGTGTGAGTGTGGTGACAAAAGAGAAGTAGATGAACAGTGGACGAAAAGGGACTTGGCAATGGCATACACATAAATGGAGGACCCTCATCAGTTATGTTTTCTTGTGGTCTCTGTGACGTCTCTCTGGAGCCTTCAAGAATTCAAAAGACAAAGTAGCATCTTTCACCAATACACATATGTCAAAGAAGTTTGCAAGGTTGGGACAGCACAAATATTTAAATGAGATGTGCAGCTATAGCTAGCTGTGAAGAATTTAATTATATATAGTAGATATCAACTTATTCACAAAAATAATTATAATGGTTTGGTAGCATTTAGCTAGCTGAATAGACCTCACAAAGGCCATTCACCTACCTTGTCTCTCACTTGCATGTGCTTTCTTCATGTCTTGCTCATCGCAACAAAGCCCACTCTCACAGTTTCACGCACACCTCTCCAAAAATGTAGGAGCTAGATTATTGTTACTTTATATGGAATTAGGAAAATGAGCTAAGCTGTTTATTTATTTAAAAAAAAGTGTAACTTTTCCTAAAGTATCCCATTTAATCATGTACATTGAAAACTATCCTTATTGATCAAGATCTCATTTAATATGTGCAATTAGTAAAGATTAGTTTGGGGACGTGGGAGACGAAATATATTGAAGTCTTGCATTTGAGACCAAAACAATCTTCTTAACTAATTCATGCATGTAGGATTCGAGAGAGCATGTAAGAAATATAATGATTTTCTAAAGTATTTTAATTAGGGCAGGAAGTGATTGAAGTTAGAGAAATATATTTTTTTGGGGAGTTGAGAGAAAGTGTCTAAGAGGTAAATTCTTTCTCTATGCATATTTTTCAAACTCAACTCCCTGGAGCACTGCTCCGTGAGATCATTATACATAATGACTATCATCACCATCACATGGTTTTCAATTTTGTCAAACTATATGTTATTTTCATATTTTCTCAACATTTTTTGAGATATTTTTTTTAAATGTAATTTTATTTTTTTATGGAAAGAGATTTTTCTTTCTTTCTTTTATTTTGGTTAAAAAAGCACTGGGTTACAAAGTTAGAGATGGATGGATGGATGTGCATGTGATCGACCATATCTGAACATTTCCTTATTTTGGGGCCCTAATAATATGCCTCTTTTTGGGCTGGCCCCCTCTCTTTTTTCTGTCCACCAACTCACAGATGAATGTTTCCTCCCATATCATACTAATCAGTATTCACCCCTAATTTAAAAAATAAAAAATGATGAAAAATTAATTTCATACACATTATTTTAAACTTCCTTTACAATGAATATAATTAACCAAAAAATAGGATACTTACTTATTCTATTCCGAGTGAAGAATTCAATTTGAGTATTACAAAAAAATAAAAAAAATTGGTTTCAATTTGAATTCAAATTAATGAGTCAATAAAAAAGAAACAATAAAGCTAATTAAACGTATATTAAAAAAATAATTAGGAAGAGAGATGGCGAGGCATGAGGGCGACATGATAAGGGTGGATATAGACAATCACTCTCTATCAAGGCCCGTGAGAGAGAACAGCTTTATTCCGTTGGGGCCTGAGGGAGATGAGATGATCACATGGCGCTAGACGCAGCGCCGTTAGCATGGTCCCCGTCCCGTAATTCTGGACCCCACTCGGTCACACATACCATTCCCACTATGTACTTCACCGTTCCTGATCCCTAATCCCTCCCCACCTCTACTCCTTCATGGCTTCATCTCACTTACCCACCACTCCCTCCACATTGGACAATTGCTTTCTATCTTGCTAGAAAAACAAGTTTTTTTTTTTTATCCTTTTCAGAAATGTTAAATAAAATTGGAATGATATAGAGAAAATTAACATGACTCCTAGTATAAGGATGTCACGCACAAATCAAGAAATAATCCAAATATACAAGTCTTTTTTAAAAATTCTAATTCACAATTGACTTTTAATTATTTAAATTAGAGGTAAAAACTAACTGGGAAGAACAGAATGAACGGGATCTCATATTCGTTTCGTGCAAAATCAAAATGATCTTGTATCAAGGATCATATCAAAGTTATTAACTAACTCTTATGTTTAAGATTTGATAAAATACTGATTAGGGCTGGATTGAAGAAATCACTCCTTGAGGTCTAATAATAAAATATTTTTTTTACTTTATGTACTTTTTAATTAAATTTTAATTTTGAAAATAACTCATACATAGGGTGCATGAGGCCATAAATTTTTGAAAGGCAATGACTTATAAAATAGAATAAATTATTATATGGACTTTAATTTGCCTGTGGAGAACTATTCTATAATAAAATAAGGTATTATGTATATTTTTAACAAGTATGAGGATAAAAAAGTTTAAATCAAAATAAGTGGTTATTTGTATGTGTCAGATAATAAATTTTAAACAAGAACATGTTTAAATTTTAACTACGTGGGATCATACATTTTGAAATAATACGTTGTTCTAGATATGATTACTTTATTTTAAATTATCAAATTAATAGCTATTTTATTTAAATTTTTTAGATAAATTATAGTGTGTTTGATTAAAAGGAATGAAGAAAATGAGAGATTTTAAGGAGTTTAGTTATATATATATATATATATATATAAAAGTAGAGTTGAAAGTTTTAAATTGATTTTCCTTAACTTTTTCTTCTTACACCTTCTTTCTATTAAAATTTTACAACTTGACTTTTTTGATTTTATCTTCTATTCCCCTCAGTTAAAACAGACATTGTAAAGAGTGTAAAATATAATTAAAAATATAATATGGTCTAAAAGGACATAAATAAAAAAGATTTGTGGAGGAGAGGGTGGAGATGAGAGATGATCCGTACGAGAGCGTGTGATTAGAAATTTAGAATAAAAATTAAGGAAGCAGTTCGTGCGCCTGATTTGTCAACATCACCCTTGTGGTAAAATCCCTCACCCGTGGGACCTTCCTTCTCAGCCACTATTATCCCATATTATCGTAAAAAAAATTAAAAGAAATGGCCCATGCCACATTAAAAAAAAATCCAAACAAAATTAATTTGAGCTTGTAGTCAACCAATATTGATTTTTTCTGGATTATTTAAGATGGTAAAAAAATAAAAACATGTTGCGAATAAGATTATCCTGTTTTCCCCAATACAATAAGGAGGAATGGGTTTTACCAATACAAGAAAAAATTGATCTAGTGAGGGATTAATTCCATTGTAAAAAACAATCTCACTAAATTTAATATTGAAATACATTACCTTGCTAATTTAGTGAAGGAGTGAGGGATAAAATCCCTTATTAAAAATGTCTATATTTAAAAATAATTATCTAATACTACATCATTGGTATCTTCATCAATCGTACATAGGTAAGCCCATGTCATGTCAGCCTTCACTTTATGTCATATCACTTATTAGTTGTTATGTCACATATTTATTATGTTTATATGAAGTTAAGACTTAAACTTTTAAACCCCTTCTTTTTCCAAACCTTATATATGTTTTTAATCTTTGCCAATTAAACTAAAATGTATATATATTTATTATATGGGAAATTAAATATATGTTATCTAACTATATAAATATGTCACATCATATGTTACAAAAATATACATGTATATGATATTTTATTTTTAATTATTAATATGTTAAGAATATTTATATTTGTATTTATATGACTCTTTGTATTATATTTTTTAATAAAATATTATTTTTATAAGGAAGATGAACATAAAATAAATTAAATATTAAATAATTTTATTATAAATATTTTAGTTAATTTTTAAATTTGATTTTTACTTTTTAAACAAAAATAATTAAATATATAATTAATTTAAAAGTTAATTTTTTGTAATACTTAATTAGGGATAGAATTCTTCACTAATTGTCTAATTTTAGACAGGGATGATAGTTTATCATTATTTTCTTAACTAATTATTTTATTTTAAAGAGAGATTAACACTTCCTTATTAATTATATTATTTTAGAGAGGGATCGATATTTTCTCATTATTTTTCTCGCTAATTATTTTATTTTATAGTGGGATTGACATACCCTCGCTATTTGCCTTGCCAGTTTTAAGTCTAATTATGAAATTAACATTCTTCACTAATTTTCTCTCTAATTTGGCATTTTAGAGAGGAATAAATAATCCCTCACTAACTCTCATTTGCTATGGACTTTTGCTATTATCTTCTCTTTTCAAAATGTCTCATAATACTTATTGGATGTGGAAAGGCATTTTCAGTTGTTTAGATGTCATGGTCTGATAGCTTAAATGAAATATTGGAAATGGGAAGAATATCAAACTCATTAGTATGTTTTAGGAAGGTTCTCTTCCACATAACTCAACTTTTATGCAACTTAAACATCTGATCTCATCATTCCCTCCAGCTCCTCTTTATTCCCTCTAAAATGAAATGTGGATGCCCTTAACTTATCCTATACAGACTGTTAAGAAGATCTCTTTCACCCCTGCCTCTTTCTCGAGGCAATAAGATAGGTTGATCTATAAAGGACATGTCTCTGGTTCTTATAACACTAAGGATGGATATAAATCAATTTCAAGGGAACTGAGCAACTTTAATTCATCATGATAGTTTCCTATGGCTCCTTTTATAAAATATTAAACTTCCTTGAAAAATGCCAAGAAGCTCCTTCATGAGGCATTACCTGCCAATGACATTCTCCAAAAGCACCAGTTGTTTTCAACAACAAATGTTCATTTGGTTGTCAAGATGAGGAATCAATTTCCCACCTTTTCTCAGATGCCTTTTCTTAAGAGCTTTCTGGTTTGGTTCTCTATCACTCAAGATTGATTTCTTGAATTGTTCAAGTTACTTGCAGCCTCTTAAGGATTTCATCAAGAAGTTATTTTGGAGAAAATGGATCTACTTGAGAAATTTGTTATTTTACTATATAGTATTTTGATAGATTTGGAATTCTGTCATTCATAATGAACACAAGCTTAATTTGAAAAGAGCTACACAAGAATTTCATCATTCACACTACTTCCCAAAGCATATTTGTACCTAGGATGAAAGAGATTTGCATGCTTTTAATTTTAGTGCTCCTTGCAACCCATTGGGCAGGTGTAATATGACTAGCTCCCTTAATAGAAGGTGATTTCCTTCACTCTGTGGATTAGAATGATACTGTATTTGCACTAGGGAAAAGGAGAGTGTTTTCACAATAATTGACACTTTTAAATTTAAGTCTTTGGACCTGAGCAACATTGAGACTCTCTGTCTTTGGTCTACTCTACTCTAGGTTATATCTATAACTCTTGATCGTCGGAAACTCCATTTGCAAGATCTCATCCTTCTATATTGGTCAAACTGTTTCTTCAAAGAACTCTTAGTTGGAGGCTTTAGTTTGGCGATTGCTAGGGACACTCATTCTCTGCTCACAAACTTCAATTTGGTATATGCAAAAAGCCTAAAATCTATCTCCACGCAAGCTGAAATGTGACTTTCATCCTTTTAGTTCCTTTTTTTTTCCTGCTTTTAATTTTAGTTTCATTTTTTTTCCTTTAAGTGTATTTGAACAGTTAGTCTTTTTATTAAAAAAATTTGTTCAAACATGTTGAGTTTAAGGGTTCACCTGTTATGCAAAAAAGTGAGTAAAACCTAAAGTAGGTGATTTGTTTTAATTTACTTCAAATGTTAAAGAAGAACCGAAAAAATTAAAAGCCCAGCTTCTAAAAAAAGCTTTGGAAATATCTGGAAAAGAAAATTGAAGATAAGTATAGCAGTAGTACTTGAAATTCAAGTTATTAGATCCAAAAAGTGCTCGACCCTGTTGCTTTGTTTTTTTAATTTTTGGGTAAACATAACTATGTATCCTTGTACTTTACTCGCACTTTGTTTTGGTCAATATACTTTTTTTCGCTGTTTTACATTCCTAAACTTTTATTTTTTATTATTTTTCATCCCTTTATGAGCAAAGTATAGGGATCTTGTAAGGATCCAAGACAATAAAAAATAAAAGTATAAGAATTTAAAACACCAAAAAAAATATAAGAATTAAAAGCAAAATGCGAGCAAAGTATAAGAAGTAAAAGTTATGTTTATCCTTAAATTTTTCATGTGGTTTTTTTTTTCAAAAAAAGCTGAGCATTTTCTTGTTTCACTTGTTATGGTTTTTTATTTTTAGTTTGCTTATTAAGAAATCTAACCTAACACACATTTAACATATAAGCACAAACTTAACAGTGTTAATAGATGTATGAGCAATATTATCATCATTTGTGCTGCATCAACTTTCTTATGAAACTATGGAGGCCAATGTTATAAACTGAAAAAAAAAAAATATAAGGAACTAGAATGTTGAAAAAAGGTGCAAAGTTTTACAATAAAATTTAAGTAAAGTACAAGGATAAAAAATAATATTTTCCCTTTTTTTCATTGTTCTAAGTGAAAAAACAAAAAGAGCAAAGGAAACAACAAAAATAAGACATTGGATGGCAAGAAAAGAATTGGTACCCATGATTAAGACATGCATGCTTTATTTTGACCTAGTACGTACTCGGATGCAAAGTGAAGCGATTAAATTTTGTTGTTTTCATCAAGTTATGATATTTTTTTCAATCAGATCATCAGCAGAGATATAATAGTCATACCTTACAGGTTTCAATCGAGTCATATATCTAAAACATGAACTCAAAATCGCTTATTAAAGTTAATACAACGTCCTGCCAAAGGAAGTAGATGCTTGCTGATAGTACAATATCTTTTTATTTAGAAGAAGGTACAAATAAAAGCATAATAATGTGTGGGCTATCAACCTATAAAGATGTACTCGTTTTATTTTAAAAATATAAAATATTTTTTTAAAAATTAAATATTTAAAAATGTAAAATATTTTTAATTTTTTAAAATATAATTATTATTTTTTTAAAAAATATTTTTATTAATGATGACTTTATATT